TGCACACACACACACACACACACACACACACACACACACACACACACACACACACACACACACACACACACACACACATTCACAACTATGAAACACATTTGCTGGCAATACAGATACAGTATACATATCATATGTACTCCACCCCCGCTCAAGTGGGTTGATACTGAAAGTGATCAGGAATGGTGACAACCTGCACGTGTTCATCAGCAATGAACCAGAATGACACCAAGTAAAAGGGCAGAGCAATAGATAATTTTGATTCTTTCTGGATCAGCTTCCATCTCCTGCTTATGGAAGAGTCAAACTGATGCAAAAATCATAAAAAGGTGCTTTGTGCTCAGTGACACACACATACACACACGCGCACACACTCAACATGTACATGGGTGCACTGTATCTAAACGCCATCCCTCTTCTGCACAAGGAGTTAATGTTGTGACAGTACATGACCAGCAGAGGGAAGGCTCCACCAAGACAAAACTAAGTCTCTGAACACCACAACGCCTCTCTATCTTTCAGGGTCATCCTCTTGTCCATCAGTCAGCCTCATGAGTCTCTGAGCGTGACAAAGCCTGCATCGTTCACAGTGCGGACACCTTCACAACGTTCTGGTGGGTGGCTCCTGCTGGAAGACGGGCGTCGTCCTCAGGGGTGGTCACCGGTGGTGTGGGAATGCTGATGATCGCTGTGGTGATCTGGCTGCCCTGGCAATTGAGAGGTGCTGGCTCATCCATGCGCATGTTCAAACTGGAGCGGCTACGAGGCAAGGGAGAGAAAAGAATGAAACTTGAGTGGCACATGCTTCACAAATTGTCAATGAGACATTTGTGAGGTGACTGATGTCTCACGATCTCGATTTAAGGCCAGACTCAGTGGTGGTAACAATTTCATTTTATTTTTTTATATGAGGTGTCATTTTCCCGAGCACTGTATGGCGGCAGAGAACTGAATTCAAACCACGTCCCAAGAAGCAGCAGCTTGGCAATTATTGAACAATTCATCATAAATAAATAAATAAATAAATAAATAAATAAATAAATAAATAAGAGGCTCCGACCTGTTAATTGTCGCATGCAGTTGAAAATTACTGTCAAAGCAAACATAATACAAAGTAAATTAAACGTGTATTTAAAACCACATAGATTTGCCTTTTGAAAAAGGCTGCTTCGCTGAACACGAGCAAACAATGCAAACATTGATATGCTAACAGTTAGCATTGAAAGTCAAGGTTTTAGAAGCAACGGCTATTTGAACATAAATGGTGGAGATTGTTTTATTTTATTTTCTCAAAAGTATCTGTACTCGTACTTACTGTAAGTACACCATGGACATATGATGCCTTACAAAGCACTGAGCACTGAGAAGAACACGCACCCATGCAGAAATGGCCAGGACTCAAACAGTGATCCTTCTGACGGTGAGGCAGACACACTACCCACCATGGCAGCCCTGATTCATTGTACCAAACTCATATTGGTGTCGATGTCAGCGAGTCCCACCTGGTGCTGAGGGGCTGAATATGGATGGTGCTGAGCTCCTGCAAGCCTTGTTGGCGTGCGTGCGTCAAAGGCTGCATGTGTGCCGGCTCACTGGAATTCGGTAAAGGGCTGTGATGCTTCTTGCTCCTGCGGGTGCAGCAAGTGCCCGTGACGCCCTCTTGGCTGGAGAGAGACGGGCTTCGAGACGAGTAATTCTGAAGTCCCGCCTCCAGGTAGCTCTGTTGGTAGTACTGCTCATCCACAAATTCGTGGTTCTGTGGCAATCAAGAGACCAGTGAAGGAGAAGAGAGTCAGAGTTTTGACAGAGCTTGCCTTATCTTCAAATCCCAACTGTAAGAGCACCTCAAAATTTCTCTTTTAATCTGGATTTTAATGGCCACTTCACAACGGTCATCTGTGATAGCCCTACATCATCTGCTTGCAATTCCTCATAAACCTATTTTCTTATCTTCTGCACGGACTCGAGTGCTCACCTATGCTTGCTCCATTGAGAGGGAATGAGTGGAGTACCTTTCATTGATCTAGAAACAAGTCGGCTGTGTTCACTCCCACAACGGCACAAACACTTTTCTAATTGCGCCCATCAAGGAAAATATGGAAAGAAGGAAAATTCTCCCATGTGCGCAGTTGCACTGCACTTTGCACTAGACGTACACTGGGCACGGAAATGAAATTTAACTGTAGGTTAAAGCAAATAATATCGACCCTGGTTGTTTCCATGTGAAATGGGTTTAACCAACCAAAAAAAAAAAGTGATTTTTACTGAAACTTGGTATACTTGTTGATAGTGACAGCATCACAGAAAATCTTAAATTTTAGGTCAATCGGAGCAGGTTTTTGTGTGCTACGGCCACCCAAATTTAGACATTTTCAGCAAAAAGGGGTGTGACCACCTTCCTTTTAAATCCTTATACCTCAGGAACTATTGGGTCAATCTTCACTAAACATGTGGCTAAGAGATTTATATAAATAAAAGAATATGCACAATTTTTCGCATGAAAAGACTTGACATTGCAAGTGGTGGAGGCACAGTAACTCATTTGTTGGGTAGCTCTTGAATTACCCCCCACCACCACCCCCAGCAACCTGATGTTGACACTGAGTGTAATATATTAGAAAAACATTAGTCTATGTCCGGATGCTGACTTTTTTTTAAATTTTAAACATGTCATGGACATGTCTTCTTGCCCTTCACTTGATAGCTGACAACCAAACACGTCCACCTACAGGGAATGGTGTACAATAAACTCATTGCAAATGAGAACTGTTTAGTTCATTTTCCATTATCGTTAATGGAGTTGCACAATCATAGTAATGAAAAGATATCCAGGTGTTGTTTAAAGCTGATTCTGGTGAATAGTTTGCCTTTTGAACTTACGGTGGTTTTCTCCAGACAGGTCAGCAGGTGATGGTGCTGGCTCTCTAGTAGAGAGGTAGACTTACTTAAGCGTTTTTCCTCCTCAGTAGAACCCTGTGATGACACACATGATCCAAGATGAGTGCTGTCTGGTCTTTAGGGAACCCACGAATCGAATGTGATAGGTATGGTGCCGTGTCAGTACCTGATCAGAGAGGTTCATCTTGTACGGAAGTTGCTTTAGTGGGAGAATAAGACACAAAGAAGAAACAGGCCGAGTTAGACTTGTGTTTGGAGTTCAGCACTGCGATCAGAAAGCTGTCACAGCCTCAGACGTGCCAGGCAGCAGAAGCCGGGTCACATTATCAGCATGAACCCTGCAGGCACGTCAGTTGAGATCAATGGAGCCAGCACATTGATTTGTGCCCCTAATGGATGTACAGTGCATTACATTGCATACATAACATTTTGCCTCTGGCTCCTTCTCTGACAAGGCTGCCTACAGGGACTTAATAACGACTTGTTTTCCATAATTATTTCTTTTTCAGCCATGTGTTTATGTGCATGAACAAGAAGGCAATATTTCTGCTCCTGTGCTGGTTGGACATGAAGTAATGTGACTAAAATCAACAACCCAATCGTGGCCTGACGTTACCCTCGATCAACTGGAAAAAAAGGTGTGTAGTCATATTTTTTGGACCAAATATATATTATTAAAATAGTACCATTAGGCAAAACATTACTTTGAACAAAACATTACTTTGAAGGCGTACAATACATCTTTAATAACTAAGTTTTGTGTTTGTATGCTCAGTCTATATATGTATAAGTTGCCAATTGAATTCATATCAAAACCATTATATTTGTAAATTGCTAATCAGCTTGTTTTTTTTAATTTGAATTAGCAGGATGATTCAATTACAAAAACTGCTAAAGAGTCAAGAGACAAGTGAACCAACAAACATAACATATAGATGCACCCGTGATGCAAACATTTATTGCCAAGAAATTGGGGAAATGTGTGCTATACCAGTTTTAAGAGTGGACCGAATCTTTTTTTTTTTTCCTGCTCGTATTTGAGATTAAAGACTTGTCATGGAGATTCGAAACGTTTGGCTTTTCATTCAAACTGTAAGGCGCAGTGAAGCGTAAGCGTTTGTCTGCTCCTACCGTGAGCTCCAATGCTTCGTTGAAGAGGCCATTGCGCTTGCTGTGGAGGAAGGCACTGGAGCTTCCTGTCTTGGATATTCGAATCCTGGCCAAGCGGGCTTTCTGGGGAGACATTGACAGTAACGTCAATTGGAAGCTGCATCACCTCCAGTGTGAGAATGATAGGGGAATTGTTCTGACACATCCCACTGATGAGCTACAGCACATTCACATGGTTCATGTATTAGTTGTGATCTTCAGGATCAAATCAAAACATATGGTGCTAGATCATTCTCTCTGATCTCCGGTGATAACTCACTCTGATCTCTGGCTATAGTTATGAATGATTTATAATCACCGCATGACAACACACATTCCTTGGGTAGAAAATAATGGAGAGCAGAAGCAGCTCGGGTGAGTGCAGATAAACCCTCAGAGAATTAAGCAGCAAATGAACAGTGAATCAAATTGATCAAGACTGTTATCAAGCGTCTAAGTCCATTGAGGTTGTTTTTTTTGTACTAGTTATCACATCCATAGATACTTGTGGAAATTCTCATTCATCATGGTCATTTCTTTTTCAGGGCTTGGAACGGATCGCAACTGGACTCCTCTGGTTGTCTTCGAGGTTTCACCTCTCATCCAAGAAGGCTTGGACAGGACTGAGGCTGACTCACTTCGGGGTAATACAATGACTGTAATGGCAAAGGCCAGGAATTCCCCATTAAAAGCGGGTGTAAAACAAATTGCAGCTCCTCAGCATGGGGACATTTCATTTCCCGTTGCTGTTCCGCCAATGAATTTTAAAGAGTGAATGATCTATTCATCTCAAGGAATGTTTGCATGAATAATGTGAGCTGCGTGCATCGTGAGCAGAAAGCGTGCTTGTTTGGAGGGTGGCCCATGCATTGCAGTATGCGTTCATTGACAAGCTACAGTGATGGATTCCACATGTACCGATGTACCAGTTATCAAACAAGTTGATGTGGATGATGCCAACGCATGGTCTTGCTGGAACAGATTGAAATCCTCAGCCAGATATATTACTCAAAATACAAGAACAATGCACATGGATATCTGCTGTTGGACAAATGCAAAAACGAATCTTAAAATAGAATGTGAATTAGAATGTGAATTAGAATGTGTTAGCACCCAAATCACTTCGGTGAATAAATATGAAATAATGAGTAAGGGAGGGTAATCACAGCCCATAAAATGAGCCAAATTTAGATTAATATTGATTATAATGTGCTGTCATTTAAAATCTAACAATCATAGCAACAGATCCCATTCATTTAAATACACATTTCATAAATTACTTACATAATGAAGAAGGCAAAAATAATGCAGGACCTGCACACGCCCAAAAACCTTGCCTTGACTGTTTCAATGAGGGATTTTTCACTAATGCAACTTCTTCAAATTCCTCTTTAATCCTTTTGTCTCATGCTGTCTAATTCTTTTCTGTCTCTCGAACACACAAACATTACTGTACAGTATAACACTTCCCTAGTAACTCTTTTATGTTGCGTTGGTATTGGGACTATCTCACCAGTGACTGGTTGCGATACAGAAATTGTGTGAGGGTGGAGTTGACATTTGGAAATGTTTTATTATTTATTTATTTTTCCTGCAGCCCAACTAGATTTTCGGGCCTTTGGGACTTGAGTGCAGTTACAGACCAATGTATTACTGGAGCGTGAGAAACCATGGGCAGATGGCTTTCATTAACACAGGTGAGTGTACTGCAGACAAAACAGTAAAAATAAATTAATAAATAAAATAAAAATCTTACCGTGATGGGATCAAATCAGGATTATACCCATAAAACCATTCCACCACTTGCTAATGCCCAAATAATTCTAGTTTGAGAGAGAACATACACACACACGCACACTCGCACTTGCACATACTTCATGACCAGAGTCATCAACACATTGTAAATATGTGTTGAAAAGCAATTTCAAACCTACTCACAAATTACATTTAGCTTTACGACTCCCCAGAGTTGCCTGCTATGTCAGAGTAGATTTGCACCATGTTTTTATATCTCTTCTATAGTCACACCTTTTAACTACAATATAAGTGCTCGTGCTACATTCTGTCCAATCATTAAAAAAAAAAAAAAAAAAAAAGTGTTAACCTTGTGGCAGTCCAACTGCAGTCACTGGCAGTGATTATCTTTTCACTGTGACAAAGCTAAACACTGCAATGATAAACTCAATAAACTCGGACAGAGTGTACTTTTCATGAGTGATGAAGAGTGGAGACCAAAATACGATTTAAAAGTACTACAGCTATGCCATCATCATCATCATTCTCACCAAGTGACAGAATGTTTACGTGAGGCTCAGGAAGTAATTAGTTAGCATGAAAAGCTCTTCAGGTGTGAAAGGTCACGCATGCAACAAGCTCTAGTGCGCGATAAGGCACATTTTTTTGGTCAACACATTACTTCAGCGTGTTTGGCGGTTGTTTAGTGATGTGGCAAAGCCTTTAATAGAATAATGATGTTGCCATTTGTTAGGATACCCAAAGATTAGCAGAAGACATACCACAGTTTATTGGCGAACACAATTACACTGAATTGGCACTTAAAATCCCTGTAAACTGGAAATAAATGTCTTGTAAATTTGACACACCACAGATAAGAGCGTTAACTACCCTGCCAAATTTCAACGTTTAAAAAAAGAGATTGAAAAAAGTTCTCAAACGATGCTCCTCTCAAGTTTATCCTCAACTTCTGGCATCTTTCTGATTCCTACACACCCATACATGTTGAAGACATCTGGTTCAAGCCTCCGATGACCGGAATATATCCTATGCCATAACGAGAGGCGCTAGCCTTCAGCTAGCATGCAAATTAACCAGGACTTCTTTTGGCCGACAGGCGGGCTCACCTGCGGCGTGACCTCCTTCCTTATTGTTGTGTCGATGTGTGGGTCCACATAAAAGAGACACTCGAGGCAAAGCCAACCATTTATTAAACAGAGTGGCCCATGCTATTCGGCATATGGCTGACACCACAAGACAGACATTTGAGCACATAAGCACAAATCTTTACCTTCCAACATAAAATGAATACAACAAACCTAACACTTGGGAAATCAAACGCACGCGGTTGTCATATTTATTAATAAAATAAGTTGACATCCACCAGACGGATCAGCGGAGCGTAGAATCTGTCTGCCTGCCCTTCGATCAAATCCACAAATATCACGTTACACCAACAGCACCACAAATTAGACCTGATTTTAGATGATTTAAGGCAGGGGTAGGGAACTCCGGTTCCTCGAGAGCCATATCCTGCCTGTTTTAGATCCCACCCAACTCCAACACCCCTGATTCAAATCATCAGCTCATCAGCAAGCTCTGTAGAGGCCTGAAACCATCATGAACAATTGAATCAGGTGTGTTGCAGTAGGGAGGGATCGAAAACAGGCAGGATATGGCTCTCGAGGAACCGGAGTTCCTTAACCCTGGTTTAAGGTCTGGTCTATTTTCTGTCCCCAAATTGTCAGGTGTGCCGAGGCATAACAAAACTCCCTCAGTCCACTGGAACACGCGATGTGGCGCAGCGCAGTCAATTAAATTACCTCCACAATTGAGGACTGATGTCAATTTGCTGGGTCTTTAAATACCAAATTGGAAACAGATATTAATTCAACACTTACAGGCCAGAAGAGGGATTTATGACTGAAAGCTAGACCTGCCCAGGTGTGCCTCATTGTCTTTTTGTCAGTTTTTTTGTATTTCTGTGTGGGTTCATTGTTAATGTTTTTTTCACTTTAATTACCGTATTTTCCGCACTATAAGGCGCTTCGGAGTATAAGACGCACCTTCATTGAATGACTTATTTTAAAACAGTTTTCATATATAGGGCGCACCGCATTATAAGGCGCATAGGATAGAAACTACAATAGTGGCTGCAGTTGCGTTATGCATCCACTCGATAGAGCTACAGGAAAGATATCACAATACAATACGGCTTTATTTATGTAGAGCTCTCACAACCGCTGCAGCTGTAACAAAACACTTTACAGAACATTTAAAATACTACATCCAATAAATCAGAATATTGATTCATATATAAGGCACATCGGATTATAAGGCGCACTGTCGGCCTTTGAGAAAATGGAATGCTTTTGGTGCGCCTTATAGTGCAGAAAATACAGTAAATGTTTTTTTAATTGTATTTTGCTGTAATACTTTTTGTTTAACCTGTTTGTGTTTTTTGTTTCTTTTTAAATAATAACACTTGTGAGTACATCCTGGACTCCTGCCTTTCCTGTGCTTGGGTCCTCCACCAACTTCATCACACAAACCTTCCTATACATTTGTACATTTGTTGGGATTTTGCATGCATACAGATTGATTTTTCTTAACTGTTTACAATTTGCAATGTACATTTCTTTTTTTTTAAATCAAAATCAAATTTGCAATGCTTTAGGTATGTGCACGTGTTGTTTTGTTCATATTTGTTGCAGCAATATCATGTATATTGATAATAATCCTGTGATAATTTATCATAATGTGAAATTTCAATTCTGTTTCATCTCTAAATGCGACATAAACACCAAGCGTGACGCCATTAATATTAACAGTGAACTGTGGATTGTCTTAATTGATATTAATTATGAATATTATTCATAAATTGCATAAGTAGGAAAGGTGTACACGTACCTTGGGTGCAGTTAAGAGGAGTGTAACAATTTGTTTTGCAGCTGCAGATGTTGCCCACGCACAGCCACAAGGAGTAAGAGAAATCTGGGCTGTCTCTCAACTGCCAGCTAGAAGGATGGCTAATTGTAACGGGGACCCAGAATTAATAAGAATTCGACCTGAATTGAGATGGATGCAGAACGTGGTTCCTTGGCATGTAATAAAATAAATAGAACACGAGAGGAGAGATAAAGAAGTTGAGGGAGGAACACCAAACGTCATCGGGTAGCCATCCTGACTGCCCTATTTGACAACCTTTAAATACTGTGAAATACAGAACACTTGACTGCTGTTATTCAAGAAAATTATCTGAGGTAGAATTGATTTTCCATGTGGGTAATGCCGGGTGACTGCTGAATTTAATGGCCGGTTATATTTGCTAATTGGTTGGCATAATATTCAGGAAGGTCATATGTAGTTAAAGTTATGGAGCATTAAAGAACACTGTGTGGTGTGGATGGTGTTGACATGTAGGAATATATAACATGTCAGAGTAATTTATCGCTGGGGTTGAGCATTGACTGTCGACCATATAAAAGGTAATAAAATCTTGTGTCTCTGAAGTGATCATCGTGTTGAGCGATTAAATCTTGTCTGCCAACATATTCCAAGCACAGTAAACTCATGTGATTTAGCATATAATGAACTGAACACATGGACGTTTTAGTTGCTATAAAACAGCAGTAAAAGCCGTGTCTCTCTCTCTCTCTCTCTCTCTCTCTCTCTCTCTCTCTCTCTCTCTCTCTCTTTCTCTCGAACTTGCGACACGCAATACAAGAATGTTTGGACTGTAATATTTGCAGCACAGAAGTCTTAACAGAGGAGAGGATAAGGACATCGTGTTTGTCACAGTATCATCCACAAAACAAGAATTGCGCGATGTTGGAAAAGCCCCAATTATGCCTGTACGCTACTAGTTTTTGAAGTAATCAGAACGTACTGCATTGATTTTATATGAATAAAAACGTCTCTTTCATCACTTAATCCTGACAGCCGCCTGAAGCGCCGCAGAACAGATGTAGGATGAAGCCGTAGGTTGTCATTGGAGAACCATTAGGCCAAAACCGTCACGCCGTGACATGCAGCTGCCCGATGTGTTTTACATTTTGTGAAACCTCATTCACATTGCACCAGACTAATTATGATGTTCATTTCGTCTGCTTATCTAAGAGACGCGAAATTATCTTTGGTCATTATTCTTTTCAGGCAAGTCTTTTTCAGCACCCCGAGTTTTAGTTTTGAAAAGGCTATAAACCTTGTTGTATGCTTTCCATTATCACATGGAAATGTGTTCCAAAGGTAGAATTATGACAAGATAAAGCGCCCTTGAATTTTTCTTGCAGTGGCCTGGGAGCTTGGGGGCTAATTTCCTGCGGCACACCTGATGATCTTTATGTCACGCTGATGTGCCGCTCTTCTGTACATACTGTATCAAGGTTTATCCAGCCGACCAAGTTCACTGAGGTCGATGATGTTAAAACTGCACTGCACTTCAAACTACCTGTAGCATTTTAAACTATTTTCCTCTCCACTAAAGGCAGAGATTGCTTCATGTCGTACTAAACAATGATTCATGTGACCAAAAAAAAAAAAATTCTTTCAGTTTGTTTTCGGGGCGTGTGGCGAGCACACCAAGAGTAGGACAATCCCATTCATACACAAGGCAGACAGACATGTTCTGACCTTCTAAATCGCACCTCATCTGGATGAGGACTATTTCAGGAAAGAACACAGGACCCATGTCGCCTCGAGCACTCGCCTGTTACTACGCTTGCTTAGCCTGCTTCCACTTTGCCTCTGGCCTTCCTTGTCACCAAAAGTGTCTGTCTTGTCGACATCAACAGCACATAATCACTGTCTCTTTTAGGTATCCTCGCACAAGTGAATGGCAGACAATGAATAGATAATGCTCACTTACCCTGTCAGAGAGAGAGATTCGTTAAACCGTCTTTTCATTGTTGTGGCTGTACTATTCAGTGGCATAAAATGACACTGCATCATACTTAATGCTGTTTTACACATTTTGGTTACTTTATTTATCCAGAAAGGCAACGTATTGGAAACACGGTCTATGAGTATGATGCAGCTCTATGCAAATGATGACACTAATTAAAGTATTCAATTAATAGCTCTCTTAGAAAGAGGAATGGATTTATGTCTCTCAGCTGTGTACAAACAATACTACGATGCATCACAGAAGAATGAGGACAGTCAGATTTGCCCTCAAACTGTGATTAGCAGCCCCAGTTTGTATTTGGAGCAGCTGAGGCTGTGAAGAAATTTGTCACGTGTAACACAATTATTGTTCATGTCTGAAGGCTAAAACTAAAAACACATGCATATTCACCTGATATATATTTGATATATGCTCTAGTTTAAAAACTATTTTGATTGACTTGACGAGGAGCCCACTGGCCAGGATGTGGCCCACATCTATCTACCTATCAATCTATCCATCTATTTTCTAATCCGCTTATCTTAACAAGGGTTGCGGGGCTGGAGCCTATCCCAGCTGTCTTCGGGCAGCCTGAACCGGTTGTCAGCCAATCGCCGGGCACACACAGACGAATAACCATCCATGCTCACAGTCATACGCAGGGACAATTTAGAGTGTTCCATCAACCTGCCCTGCATAATTTTGGAATGTGGGAGGAAACCGGGGTACCCGGAGAACACCCATGCAAGCATGGGGGAGAACATGCAAACTCCACACAGGAAGGCCAAAATCGAACTCTGCATCTCGGCACTGTGAGGCCGACGTGGTAACCAATCAACCACCGTACTCTATCCTAATCCTACTATGTCCATGTTTCTATATGTCCATGTTTCTATCTATCTATCTATCTATCTATCTATCTATCTATCTATCTATCTATCTATCTATCTATCTACATACTAGCAGTTTGATACCCGCGGATTCACGTATTTTCAGATTGTTTTTCAGCATTTTTGTTTTCTTTTTTGTGGGGGAGGAGTCAACCCCTGCTTTTTACAGGAAAGCTTGTATTGCACGGAGCAGGTTTGTATGTGTTTGCGCAAAGACATACGCCAGACATTTGCAAACAGTTTTAAAAACAGTTTCAACAGTCTCAGACATTTTTTTCCTGTCGCAACGACATTTTGAACATGTTCAAAATTACATGGAGACAGGAAAAACTGTTTGCAAATGACTGGCGTCCTTCCAACCTTTCTCTTTCTTTTTTCCCATTTTCCCAATGCATTTCTATGTCTGTCAATGATATGCAGATTTTTGCTATTCGTGGGCTGGCGTGTATTTTGTTCATACTCAAAATGGCATGTTTGTCATCCATCTGGAGAGCATGTGTGTCTTTATGTACCCCCC